TTGAATATTTGATCGTTCAGGTTTGAATGTAAGTGGAATATTTAAATTTAAATCTGAATAGAATATCTAAATTTGAATCTGAATATTTAGATTCGAACTGTGAACTCGAATTTGTCTGGGATTTGAATACGACTGTTTGGGATTCAAGTTCAATTATTAAGTATTGTATTCAGTATTTGAATCTGAGAGAAGAATGTCCAAATTCGAATTTGAATATATTGGAGTTGAATATTTGACTGTTCAGGTTTGAATGTAAGTGGAATATTCAAATTTAAATCTGAATATTTAGACTCGAAGAACTATGAACTCAAATTTGTTGGGTATTTGAATGCGAGTGTTTGGAATTCAGGTTCGAGTATTGAATTTAGCATTTGAATCTGAGTAGAATGTTCAAATTCGAATTTGAATATTCGAGTATATTGGAGTTGAATATTTGATCGTTCAGATTTGAATGTAAGTGGAATATTTAAATTTAAATCTGAATAAAATATCTAAATTTGAATCTGAATATTTAGATTCGAACTGTGAACTCGAATTTGAACTCGAACTCTGGGATTTGAATACGAGTATTTAGGATTCGAGTTCGAGTATTGGATTCAGTATTTGAATCTAGAATATCCAAATTCGAATTTGAATATTCGAATATATTAGAATTGAATATTTGATCGTTCAGGTTTGAATGTAAGTGGAATATTTAAATTTAAATCTGAATAGAATATCTAAATTTGAATCTGAATATTTAGATTCGAACTGTGAACTCGAATTTGTCTGGGATTTGAATACGACTGTTTGGGATTCAAGTTCAATTATTAAGTATTGTATTCAGTATTTGAATCTGAGAGAAGAATGTCCAAATTCGAATTTGAATATATTGGAGTTGAATATTTGACTGTTCAGGTTTGAATGTAAGTGGAATATTCAAATTTAAATCTGAATATTTAGACTCGAAGAACTATGAACTCAAATTTGTTGGGTATTTGAATGCGAGTGTTTGGAATTCAGGTTCGAGTATTGAATTTAGCATTTGAATCTGAGTAGAATGTTCAAATTCGAATTTGAATATTCGAGTATATTGGAGTTGAATATTTGATCGTTCAGATTTGAATGTAAGTGGAATATTTAAATTTAAATCTGAATAAAATATCTAAATTTGAATCTGAATATTTAGATTCGAAGAACTGTGAACTCGAATTAATCTGAGATTTGAATGCGAGTGTTTGGGATTCGAGTTTTGGATTCGGTATTTGAATCTGAATCCAAATTCGAATTTGAATATTCGAATATATTGAATATTTAATCATTCAGGTTTGAATATAAGAGGAATATCAAATTTTGAATCTGAATAGAATATCTAAATTTGAATCTGAATATTTAGACTCGAATATTTAATCATTCAATTTTGAATCTGAATAAAATAATGTAATTTGAATTTGAATATTCTCATATTTGGAATTGAATATTTAATCATTCAGATTTGAATCTGAATAGACTATTCAAATTTTAATTTGAATACTTGGATATTTGAAATTGAATTCGAATATTCCATTATTCAGATTTGAATCTGAATAAAATATCCAAATTTGAATCTAAATATTCGAATATTTAATAATTTAAGTTTGAATCTGAATATTCGAATATTTGAGTATTCAATCATATTGAATCTGAGTATTCAAATATTCAAAATACTTGAATACTTGAACATCCAGATTTGAATCTGAAAATTTGAATTCAAATTTTCTTTTTTCATTCCTCAAATATAAAATTTTTCTTACCTATATTTGAATTTACAATCAGACAGAAATAAAATAAATCTTTCAAAATATCCCATTCTGTATAAATTATCTAATCATCGAATGAAAAAAAAAATAAGGCAAATACCAAAAATAAAAATAAAGTTCAAAAAATATCGATAAAACTGGAAAACAGATAAACAAGAGATGAAAAATATATAACGAGTGAAACATCAAAATTACTTTGAACGTTATTATTCGAATCGTTTGCATAGAAAATTGCAAATTTAAATAAATTTAATAATTGAATAAAAGCCATGAATATATATAAAAAATATTTATAAAAAATAATATTAGAAAATATCAAAAATAATTTTTCAAATCAAAATAAACAGAAAATCAAGAATAAGAAAATTCCATATTCGATTTAATTTTTAATTATTGATAATTGAAAATTAATATTCGCTCACACTCATAGATAATCCCATCTATTTTCAATTGTTAATAACTAAAAAACAAAGTCGAAAATAAAATTTTTTCCCCTCTTGATTCTCGTCTTATTTCATCTTGAAGAATCACCTCTCCAATTTTAGAACACATAATTTTCTCTTCTATTCATAATTTCACTATCTACAAAAGTATACAATTAACATGATTACGAAGTATCCACAATTTGCAAATAGTACGATAATTCAACTTTCCAATTCAACTCCCAAAAGAAAAAGAAATTAACAGAATCTCATTGCTTGACAGAATGACGTGAATGAATCTCGTAATAAAGCACAGACGAGCCTCTACAAACAAATCAATCCTCGTTGCCTTAATGAAATAAGTTAACCTCGGTTGATTCTATCTTGACGTTATAATTATCTGGATTGAAAAAAAAAAAAAAAAAAAGAAAGGAAACCTCAAGGTATAAATAAATAAACGATGATGGGGGGTTGCGTGATTCTCAATGAAGGGTTAATTAGATTTCGTTCCGGGCCTGAACGGGGGGATGGAGAAGAAAAATATTATTCCAACGTGGAACGAATAGCAAGGACATTTTCCAGTCGCATCTTTAAGTAAAAGCTGCGTAAATAAAAGCTGTTATTGTCGTCACCCCGTCATCGTGTTGGAGTGTTGATTCATCTAATTGTGGAAATCGTTTTCGCCCCCTCTCTTCTCTTTCTCTCTCTTTCGTGTTCTGTTTCTATATCTATC